ATATATATATATATATATATGGCACTAAATAGCGCAAGTTAGATATTATTGTAATGTTTTGGACCTTTGCCCGAGGAGATTTTCTCAACCTGGACCTTTTGGAATTTTAATTGACTACCCCTGTCCTACATGATGTAAGGATTACAGATACTAGAACCCAAAAGCACAACTCGGAGACAAGATACAAGTTCAGGCTTCAGAATTAATGACACATGATACTTGATTCTGATTTGGTAAAGATTGTTGCCACACATTTGATCAGTATCAACAGGATCTAACAAAGAACAGTGCTAAATATCAAGTCCGTGTTGGTTATGTGTATCCTTGATCATCAGTTGTTTCATGCTTCTGGCTATGAAATATTAAAGCTGCTCAACCTTTTCGCAGAATTCCTTCTGATTAGACCCAGTCTGTGATGCACTGTGTTTGGTGAGTTGTCGTTACACAGCACTTATAGAAAGCATATTTCTCTGTGCTGTTTTGCATGCTGGTAAGGGGGGAATAGGGTAAAACATTTAACTAATTGATACCAGCATGGAACTGCCCCAGTTGATTATTTACATTACGACAATTATATATTTTTTTCTGAAAATGTTTCTTTTAATATGCAATTGAGGAATTCTCTTTTTAATATGTGCTAATTTTCAGAATTTAAAGACCAGAAATCTGCTCTGTAAATGGAGGGAACATATGAAAAACGGACGTTTGCAGTGCTTGTGCACATAGTTTTTGTATCTGGAGAGTCTATTACCAACAATCTGAGAAATATGACGCTCAGTCAGTTTTTTGTGGGCTGCCTAGTTCAGAAAACATAATTCCACAAGCCAATCCGGTTTAAATCTCCTTCCTATGTCACATGCAGGCTCATTACAATAAACCGCCCACAGCTTCACTACCTTTGTAAAGGTACACATTATTTTTCTCTCAGGCCAATCAGAGCAGACTGGGCTTATTCAGCAAGGAGGCTTAAAGAGACAGGCGCTAAACTGGAGCGTTTCTGACAGAGAATACATGCATAGTCAGACAGTATGAGAGAAATAATGAGTTTTTTGAACACTAAAGCATGTAATCATGTTCTGTAGAAACTCAAAATACGAGTATGAACATGAAAATGATTATAATATGTCCTATTTATCAATATCTTCGTCATCTGTTCCCTGATGGTTCAGCCCGACTTTGCTCTGAAACATGTCTGCTCTTTAGAAACCTTTCGCATTGCTAGCAGTATAGTTGACAGCCGTGTTGTATTATGTAATGGATGAACCTCGCTGATGCTACAGCAGAGGCAGAGACACTCGCCATCTGCTAAGGGACCGACAACAAATACTTGAAAGTGATAAATCGTAAAATGCTACCAGATATAGTCGAATTGAAAAGCGCTGTTGATAACTTATAGACAGTATGTACATGCAGTGTATGTAGCTGCATGCGTAAGGGGATGTAGCAGTTGTCAATAGGGCAGCTGCTTGTATCAGTAGAGTGTGCCAGAGAGATGCTGTTGTGTGTGAAGCCCTGGAGTCAACATGTTACATAACTGAGCGCTCTGAGCCTGTGAGCTGTCTGTCCCCCTGCTGCTGATACAGTGAGATCACAGAGAACAGACTCGATGAGGCCTCAGCATTCATTTACACTGTGATGTGTTTTCACTTGGATACAACGTCCAGCTCTGTTGAATGCAAACAACAAAAGAGAAGAATCAGAATCAGCTGTATTTAGCAAAGTCTGTCATTCAAGGAAGTTGGCTCCATTTGTTTTGCATCACTCACCATGTTCTAACACAGAAATAGAAAATAAAAGCTAGGGACAAGGACAACAAATAAAGGTAAAGAATAGACTGGTATGTACTGTTATGTACACAGGTAGTAAATAAATAGGTGTTTTGATGAATATTGTATATATATAAAATAATAAATAAAACATCTATATACAAGTCAAGTGTTGTAAAGAAACAAAAGTGCAAAGAAATAAATACTGCATGGATATCCTTGGACTCTGATTGAGGTTAAGATGTTTGTATACTGAATGTACAACGTAGAGGATTTATACAGACAATGACAGATGATAGGTACTTATCAAAAGCAAATTATGCATTAAAACTGTAAAATGATGACCTGTACATTAGCAGTAGATATGTTGGAGATAGAGGGTTATTGACAGTGTATGACTGATGTTAGTGTTCATCAGCGTGACAGCCTGCAGGAAGAAACTGTTCAAATATCTGGTTATTTTGGTGTTCTGGAGCACCTCCAAATGGGAGAAGCTGAAATGGGTTATGTTCAAGGTAAGAAGGTCTGCAGTGATGTGTCCTGATTCTGGAGGTGTATCAGTCCTTGGCTGCCACCAATAATGTTCTCTGCATTCCTGACTGTCCGTTGTAGCCTGTTCCTGTCCTGTTTGGTGACAGTGATGGATGTGCAGCTACTCCTGTAGCTGGTGATGTTCTGCAGGCCTCTTCACATCGACGCAGGGTCTTGTTTTGCAACTTTTCAGAGTATAGCTGCTCTTTCCTACTCTGACCTCCTTAGTCAGTGTCTTCCTGGCCTGGTTGCACATAAGTCCGTCCCCACTACTGTAGAACTGTTGTCCTGACAAAACTGTCTGACTTCTGTCAGGGAGTTCATCCAGGTCTGTAGCTGCAGCAGGGGCGTTTCTAGGATTCAAAGAAATGGTGGGGGGGCTTAGCCCCAAGGGGAGGGGCATGTTTGCGCACGTAGCAATTTATTTTTGGGGCCCATCTGGGGCCGTGGATATCCATTGTTTCAGACAGTTCATAGATTGGTTCAATCAGAAAGAGTGTGAGTTTGCTCTGTAGTTTTGCTTGCATTCAGTATATAATAACACAAGAGACAGAATTTCAGGGTCATAGTGAAATTTGACAACACAAATATGAACTTTTCTCAAATAAAGAGAGAGAAATAATTTTCCTGCTTGTAAAGGAAAGACGGATAAACTAGCTTTCATATCCGCGTCACTCCCAAATCCTAATTCTTAAAGGCCGCACACAATGGATGGAGAATGGACCTGACAGTGTCAACTTTTGAGTTGTTTACTTGTTTTATTATGAGCAGAAGAGAATACGATTTTGATCAACATTTACGTGTAGTTTTTACATACCAGTGATATTTTATGCTCATTTAGACACTATCACTGAGATAAAGATGAACTAGTTCAGTGTGAAATATACCATTCAATGGGAAAAAAACATGCACGCAGCAGCCTCCCCAAGGTCCGAGTGCCCGGGGTTTATATCGGTAAGTATGATGATAGGCTATTGGATTGTAATTTGAAGGGGGAGAAAACATACAAACCAGAACGCACGCACATACGTATGTAGCATGTTAGAGTTATAAATAACTTGTCCATGTGAGATTTTTTTTTTTTTTTAAAGCCAATAATGCCAAATTATTTGGGGGGGCTGAAGAACATTTTAGGGGGGCCTAACGACACCCCTGAGCTGCAGCTTCAAAAACACTTTAATGAGTGCAGACAAAGCCTGTAACTTCAGCTTTGCCTAGTTGCTCCATCTCCTCACAGTCTTGACCACAAGCTTAGCAGATTTGAGTTTCTGCCTGAAGGTGGTCCAGATATTGATCAGAGAGACCCAAAGCTGCACAGGGGACAGATTGATAGGCATCATTTAATGTAGTGCAGCAGTGGTCCAGTGTGTTATTATCCCTGGTGGAACACTTAATATGTATGTATTTTGAAAGTTTTTTAACTGAGGTCCGCTCTGAGGAGTTGCAAGCTCAGCAGGTGGAGTGAAGTGTCCGGGAAGTGCTCACCAAGTCAGGGTTCAGTGAAGCACAGGGGGACAGGTCTGCAAAAGTCTGTTTGGTCTGTTGAGAAGCAGCAGCTCATCCATCTTGTTGACTACTGAGTGAACGTTCGCCAGATGTATTGATCGAAGTTTAGTTTGAAATCCCTGCTGTGGCAATTTAATGGCCGCTCCGGCCTGTTAAATAGCTCTGTCTCCTGCTAATCCGAACTAAAAGCTCGGTAAAACATTAGGGTTCTATGAAAAGCGGTAACAGGTTTGACTAGTTACTTGTCGGAAGTTCAAAAGGTTGCCCTGATCAATGTAACCAGAGGAGAGCAGTAAATTGAATAAACGGCTACCAGGCAAGTGTTGGACCAGACAGTCTGAAAAGTGAAGCCAATGCTTCATGTCTGAAACCTGCATTCTCTCTAATGTCCATCAGGGGGCGACTCCTCTGGTTGTCTAAAAGTCTATGAGAAAATGACTCTACTTCTCTCTTCATGGTCTCAATCTCTAGTTTCAAGTCTTCTTCAATACAGCATGATGTTTATTTAGTAAATTATGGTCCATTGAGAGTCAAACAGACCATAACGCAGAGGATGCTTTAGGGTGGGGCTACCTTGTGATTGACAAGTCTCTACCGCGGCATTGTCCGGTCTTGGAGTTGTCCTGTTTTTGTTTTACAACTTTTTTAATGAACCATTCTCCACCTCTGGTGCCCTTGCTTGGACCACACCAATCTTAAAAGTCAGCCTTCATTTTGATACGTATGCTATGGCATTGAAGTTTGGGCAAATGATCCTCAACTTTCTTGGCCACCCACTCCTTAAAGAGAATTCTTGCAATTCTAAAACTAAGATGCAGTGTGGTAGAAAGTTTATTAAAACACTTTGCTGCAATACTGTTGTCCAGGAAAGTAAAGTTTGTCTATAACTTGTCTATAAACCACACAGAGAAAAAAGTTAATTGACAGAACAGTTTGGCTATATACAGAGTTCTTTTGTCACACAAAGCGGATACTTCAGGTGACATGTCATCTGATTTCAACAGAAGGATTGGATTCTTGTTTTCACTACGATATTGATTGGAAGCTAAATGTTTGCTTGGATATTATTAATCTTATCACAGTTTCAAAGCACTATAGTATTTTCACACCCCGGCTCTTTATAAATTAGACTTGGCATACAAGTTTTCATTGTTTTAAAGCACGCTGTTACACTTTTCTCTTTCACCAGGTTCCCAATGTTGAACATGACCACCCCCAGCGAGCTGAAGTCTCCCTGCGTGACTCGCAACGGCATGGTGAAGTTGCCTCCGAGCCAGCCTAACGGTCTAGGCAGTGCGAGTATCACCAAGGGGACACCTGCTGCCAAGAACCGTCTGTGCCAGTCCTCCTCGGTACCCTCCATCCTGCCTCCTCCACCGTCCTCCATTCCCTACCACCACCACCATCACCTGGACGGCCCTGGCATGCTCAACTCAGCAGCCTCTCTCTTGGGCTCTGACATGGAGCCTGGAAAGCCTCTGGTGGGCTTGAAGCCATCCCTTCGTCAGCTTCCCCCTCTCAGTCTGCCCAAGCCCATGCTGCTGGAACGCCAGCTTGTCCTGGATGAGAAGTTGCTCAACCGATTGCTCTGGTACTTCACTACAGCTGAAAAATGTGTGCTGGCGCAGGTATGTAAGACATGGCGCAAGGTGCTCTACCAGCCCAAATTCTGGGAGGGCGTGACACCCATCTTGCATGCCAAGGAGCTATATACCCTACTGCCTAATGGGGAGAAGGAGTTTGTCAGTCTGCAGGCCTTCGCCTTGCGTGGCTTCCAGTCTTTCTGCCTAGTGGGTGTCTCAGACCTGGACATTTGTGAGTTTATCGACAACTACCCGCTGTCCAAGAAAGGTGTTCGCTCAGTCAGTCTCAAGAGGTCCACCATCACAGATGCCGGTTTGGAGGTGAGTCCGAATGTGTGTGTGTGGAAAAGACAGAGGTTATTTGATGTTTATTTCCCCAGATCTGAGCTGATTCTAAGTTATACATGGCGGCTAGTTCAAGTTCTTACAGTGTCAGCAGCAATTGAGACAACGAAGTAGTGGCACAGGTCAGGAACAAATGTGAGCAGCCAGCAATATGGTCATTTGTGGACAGAGACACATCCTTTCTGCCTTCTGATCGCAACTCAAAACTTCCTCCATGTTTTCCTGTTCCCTTGAAAAAGTTGTAAAGTTTCCATTTCTTCAGCCCTTATTTTATCAGTACAACATCGTATTCATAACATACTCACCACTTTACTGCTCTGACTCTCTCGTTAACACAAATACTGTTTTCATTCATTCGTTATTTCCAATCTTTTTTCCAAGCAGTTCTCACACCCAACTTAACAAATACCAACGCTTGGCAAGTACCCCATGGCATCTGATATGAACACACTGAGGCACCCTTTAGCGTCTGTATGAGATGCACTAGGCTTTCAACTAACTCCAGTGTAAACTAGTAGTGTGGTTGCATAGGTATACCTAAAAACTATGTTAACCTACCTTGGAAGTTTATTTTGAATGGTAAGTGGTAATATGGTAAATGGACTGTACTTGTATAGTGCTTTTCTAGACTTTTACGACCACTCAAAGCGCTTTCACACTACTTGTCATCATTCACCCATTCATACACTGATGGCAGGGGGTAAGTGCCACCTGCCTATCAGACTAACTCATTCATACATCGTAGGCACAGCTACGGGAGCAATTTTATAGAGACTGTATACGCAAGGAGCGGAAACTGATTAGGCTACCTAGAGCTTCATAGGGTTACCTAGAGTGTCATTGGGGTACCTAGAACATCATTGGGTTAGAGGTATCTAGAGCATCATAGGGTTAGAGGTATCTAGAGCATCATAGGGTTACATAGAATGTCATAGGGTTACCTAGAACACCATAGGATTAGGGCAGGGGTGTCCAAACTTTTTTCAAATAGGGCCAGATTTGTTAATGTGAAAATGCCCAAGGGCCAACAGTCCCTGCTGACATTATTTTAAACAATACAAGTAGCCTATACATACATTGTTATTTGATCATTTTATTTTCAATGACAGCAAATAGCAATGTAACCAAATGTAAGCATTCGGGTGTGAACAACTCTCAACAACTATTCTGTCTTTCTTTCACATCTTGAAAGTCAGATAACACAAAGAACAAGCCATCTAAAAGCTAATTACATAGAAACCGATCAATGTTCTCACCTCAAGACAATCTTAAATATGACTTAGTGAGGGAAATCACATTTAAGTTCAACACACATGAAACAGGCTGACGAAAAAAATCAAGTTGTCTCTTAATATCAGATGATAGCTCTTCAGTGTTACGAGCCAGGCAAACATTAGCAAACTCTGTCTTCTTCTCGGGGCAAATGTTTTCTGCTATTTTCACAACACAGTCTTTGATAAACTCACCTTCCGTAAAAGGTTTGTCATGTTTAGCAATTAACATAGCCACTTGGTAGCTTACTTTGATGATGTTTTCATGTGAAAAGGACCGCTGCTGTGTGGCCAAGTTATCTTGGAGTTGCTTCACTTTTCTAGCACGGTCGCTCTCTGATAGCTTGTTGTAGCATTAGCATGTTTGGTCTCGTAGTGTCTCTTTACATTATATTCCTTAAACAAGGCAACAGTCTCATGACAAATTAGGCAGACACAGTTGTTTCGGTTTTCGGTGAAAAAAATATTGCGATCTCCACCTCTCCTTGGAAGCGGCGGCCCTTGTTATAGACTTTCCTTTTTTTACTTGCCATAGGATGACAGTTCAAGGGTCAGAGCCAATTTCAAACAGCCAGACAGTTACAGAGTGGTGCTGCCACCATGAGGTAAAAAGATTGATTGCATGTTGAATTTGTATGATTTATTCATTCCGTTTCCACTGTGCTGGCGGGCCATAAATAATGCATTTTAAGACAGAAGGCACGGGCCATATAAAATCTGACCTCGGGCCGTGATTGGCCCGCAGGCCGGACTTTGGACATGCCTGGGTTAGGGGTACCTAGAACGTCATAGGGGTACCTAGAACGTCCTAGGGTTAGGGGTATCTAGAGCATCATAGGGTTACCTAGAGCGTCATGGGGTTACCTAGAGCATTTTAAGTCATTAAGGTACGTAGAGTGTAGGGCCACTGACCAAGCGTCAGAATTTGACGAGTTGGGAGCATGACCGTGTTCAGTTTGACTTTTATTTGTAGCTGTTAGTGTTAAGCTACGGTCAATGGAACCCAACACTTTCTGCACAGATGTTTCACAATAAAAGCATTCCAGCGGCACAAGCACAATGTTTCTTCTGAGGCTTTTAATTTGGAACGTATAAAGGAAATGTTGAGTTTCATTAACGTTAGCTGTAAATTGATTGCAAATAAAGATAGAAAATAATTTGACAATTCAAATTATGTTGGTGTTGATGAGAAAAAGAGAGAGACTGTTACTGATGGAATTAATAGGGCAGTGAAAAAATGGGAGCCATTAAGAAAGGCCTACAGCTTATTTTAACCCTCCTCAATGTCAATGTTATTCCACTTTAGTGTCATCACTAGTGGGATGAAAGCCGAAGACATTTCCCGGAGAACACAGGAGAGTTAAACCTGTTATCTGTCTGTCTTTGGTTCAGTCTGTATACTGTATAACTGGATATGTAGCCAGCATGTACCTGCTGTTTTTGTTATGATAATACATAGTTTTACACAGCAGTGGCAAAACATGTGAATACACTATGATTCTTCTTTGACTTCAATTCTCAAGATCTCTGCCTTTATGCTGTCATATTTCATAGGAACAAAAGAGGCATGAGGTGCCTTTCAGATGAGTTGTTTTTCAGATGGCTCTTCAAACCTGCTAGGTGGCTATTCTGGGATGAGAGGATGGTTGCCATGGAGAAAGCTGGAGTTGTTGAATGCATGATCTATATATGGACTTTGCTGTTGCAGGGTTATGATTTGTGCATTACCATTTTCTTGCACCTTGAACAAGAGAATTCCATTTAGAAAAAGAGAGGAAGTAAAAAAGCAAACGCCGAGAAAAAGTCGAAGTTAGATGAGTGCACAATATTGTAAAATTCTAACTCAGCTCTCTTTGTGTTATGTAATGCTATTTCATCGTGCTTGTTTTCACAAAAACAATGTTTTGCAGGTAATTCTTTTTTCGTAATGGCGTTTTTTTAGTTCAATAATATAAATGGATAAATGGATGATGCCACCTTTCTTCACAGAAACGTGGCCTCTCAATTGAGACAACAGGCCAGAGCCAGTATGTAACTGTTTCAAGAGAGAATAAGAAGGAAGAATCATTGTCTTCAGATGTAAAATGCTCTGTTACCATAACACAGACAAGAGGCATTTATGCTGCATAATGTGCAAGATAATACAAACAGATATTGTATACATATATATAATGAATGGTTTATAAAGTTGTAAGCAGATATGACATTTTTAAGTGTTTATTGCTATTATTTTACTATGTTGTCATTCAGTTTATCCACCAGGCTCCACTTTTGGGTGCCCAGAGGGAGAATATTCTTGTTTATGTACTTTTTATGATGCTAAGTAGCGAGGACTGGGGAAGGCAATTTATTTTTGGCGTCAGTGGTTAAAAATCCCAGAGTAACGATTCATCCGTTTCTAATTCGAGTGGTCTGAGAGAAAACTAAATTCTGTAGTTCCTCTCCGTGTTCAGGCTTTATAAAATCTAGCCTGTAATGAGGGATGACGTTTGTAAGGAAAAACTAGTACTAGTACAGGTTACTGTATGAATGACGATGGACAGGTTACTGTATGAATGGACGATGGACAGGTTACTGTATGAATGACGATGGACAGGTTACTGTATGAATGGACGATGGACAGGTTACTGTATGAATGACGATGAACAGGTTACTGTATGAATGACGATGGACAGGTTACTGTATGAATGACGATGTACAGGTTACTGTATGAATTGACGATGGACAGGTTACTGTATGAATGACGATGGACAGGTTACTGTATGAATGGACGATGGACAGGTTACTGTATGAATGGCGACGGAATAAAAAATGACTCGTATTAGTATGGCGCTAAATCCAGGTCAAAAGTTTTGTTCATTTGAAAATAAAATTTGAACCTGAAAGTTCAAGTTGTTGAACATTGAAAAATACAGCAGTGTATTCAAAATAAAAATAAGTGAATGAAAAGTTTTTTTGGGTTGAATATAATTTTGATTCAGTTCTGGAATTTTTTGGAATACATTTTCTTTTTTCATTTTTCACTTTCATATATATTTTGATATTTGAGTTCTTATATTTTTCAGTTTCAGATTTTATATTTTCAGATTCAAATCTTTTTTTTTCGGTTTCAAATCTTTTTTTCAGTTCAGATCGTTTTTTTCAGTTCAGATCGTTTTTTTTTCAGTTCAGACTTTTGACCCTGATCTAACGTGGGGGGCGTGGTATCAACTGAGAGGGGCGTGTCATCATGAGTGACAGCATAACAAAGAACTCGCAGTAACTGCCCATTAACCATTTCAAGCATGATCACTGGGTTTGGGTTTCACCTCTATTGTTAAGACACACTGACTCATCAAATAGGAGCTAGACATTAAATACAGCTGTACACGCTGATAACAACATTGTACAACTGTAGACGCTAAGTTTATTCGCTCAAACTCAAACTATATCCTGCTGGACAGATAATCTGTGATCTGTGAAACAATCAGCTTCATCTGCCTCCTTTTCCTGCTCCTAATAACATTTGACATATTTTTCACAGATCATGTGTCTCATGTACTACTGTCAGGATTTAGTGGCAGCAAATATGACAAAAAGTTATTTTCATTAAAGTTACCAAATGTAGCTTCAAGTGGGGTTCCTGTGTTTGATCAAATACCATGTTAAAAGACTTGTTTATGTATAATGCTGCGCAAGAGCAACCTTTTCATTATTTTAATTTTGTCAATCCTCTTGTTATCTCTGTACTCATTATCTCTCTGTAACCACATCTCAGCAGCTACATCAGTAAGTCAAACTGGTGTCCTTGATGTTGCAGGTCATGTTGGAGCAAATGCAAGGCCTGATGCACCTTGAACTGTCAGGCTGCAACGACTTCACAGAGGCCGGCCTGTGGTCCAGTCTGAATGCCCGACTAACTTCCCTCAGCGTCAGTGACTGCATTAATGTGGCAGATGACGCCATTGCTGCTATCTCACAGCTCCTGCCCAACCTATCAGAGTTGAGCCTGCAGGCCTACCACGTCACTGACACGGCCATGGCCTACTTCACAGCCAAACAGGTAAAGTGCCACAAGAGAAATCAGCTTGGTTCTTTACTGTTCACATCCACACACCTCTCACATCTCATTGTGGATCTCAAGAATTCTGTTTTTCAATTGACACACAGTATATGTTCCTTTCCTTGACGTTTGTATTCAGTCATCCATCCATTAGCTAGACCCATTCATCCTAGAGGGTCACTGGGGCCTGGAGCCGATCCCAGCTGACATTGGGGGAGGTACTGGTTTGGTTGAAAAATGCACTAGTCAATATTTTATATTAAAGTGATAAGGAGCAGTGGTAGTGACAATCTTACACAGCATTATCATTAGTTTCCCTCAGCTCTATGTATACATCTTCAGGCCTTGACTCATCCAGCAATTTGGAGCAGATTGGACAATGTAAAGTTGAGTTATGACAACTTCCCATTTCATGTTTAGGGCAAAATTGACAGCCATGCCACATCAAGGGCCATGAACTGAAAAGATTTGCAATTTAGCATTGTAAACATTTTAAGATGTCACCTTCCAAATTTGAAGTTGCTCAGGTTAATCCTCAAAGGAGGAGTTCATTAAAGTACAACAGCTGTGAAAAGGTTCACTTTGCAAAATAAACGGCATTGTAGATTTAAAATGGCTGACTTCCTGTTGGACTCACGGTGTGGCTTGAAGAGGCTTTTTTTTAAGTCTGGAGATGTTACAAATTTGTAGATATACCAAAAATTTGAAAGGTGGGGATATTTTGTTGGGTGCACCCTTGAGCTACTTTCGCACGCCCACTCCCAAGACCCATATCAGATATGAAGTCTCGCCCCTTCTGATGCATGTGTAAAGCTGTGTGTTTTCGGGCACCTCAAAAAAATGCTTACTAGTTCGAATGTGGATGCAACCTTTCATAATATTTTGTGCTTCCTAAAGTCTTCAAACATGTTTGTAAAATAAAAATTAACTCACCTGTTCTTAAAGGTGCAAGACGATGCTGTTGGTCGTGACGGCATTATCTGCTGTAACCGCCGTATAATATCTACAAAAACAATAGGTTCCCCTGACCTTCAGTACTAGGGACCAATGGGCCACGGCACTCCTGTGCTCAGCCCGAATCAAACTTGACAGAGGTCAAGTTAAATGATGCATGAAATGAATATGGTGGAAGGTTTCTGATTTTAGTGTCCACGAAAAGTTTTCATCAGATTTATTTTGAGAGGTTTAATGGGTGGATGGTTTATACATGAAAAACGGATGGTGCCACAAGCGTAACATATTCATATATTTTAAGTTAGAGAGCCATGCAGAAGTAGAATTTATTCCACTAAAAGGCTTTCACTTACATAATCAAATAAACTAAAATGACCTTCCACCCCCAGGGCTACACCACCCACACTCTGCGGCTTCACTCCTGCTGGGAGATCACCAATCACGGTGTGGTCAACATGGTGCACAGCCTTCCCAACCTGACTGCCCTCAGCCTCTCTGGCTGCTCCAAGATCACTGACGACGGCGTGGAGCTGGTTGCTGAGAATCTGCGTAAGCTCCGCATTCTGGACTTGTCCTGGTGCCCTCGGATCACTGACATGGCCCTGGAGTACATTGCCTGTGACCTTCACAAACTGGAAGAACTGGTGTTGGACAGGTCAGTGCGTTTGTGGTCCTGTGCTTTCATCCCTGCGAAATGCCTGTGATAGAGCCTGATATGTGCAGAAGGGGCTAGAGGAGCTAAAAACTGTACTCAAGTCAACAATTACTTCAATTGAAGTAAACAAACTCTTCAAGATCCACAGGGATACGACCTGCACAGTCACATATTAAACACAAAGTATGGTAAACACTACACATACAGTAAAGTATGGAACACTTTGCGTTTCACACATTGCCAGGAAAAGCAGAGCAGACAACATGGCTAGCGCTGAATGCTTGGACAGGTACCAAATTGCGGTAATACAGCATGAGTACCCATAGTGCTCGACTGCGGTCAAGCCACCTGTCGCCCACATCTCCATGGTCAAATCAGCCACACTAACTGCAGTGCACCCATAACCTGATATCTATGATGAATGCATGGATGTATAAAGAGAATGGACCAGATGCTGAGCTGCTGGGGAGAGCTAGCAGTCGACTTGCCAAAGTTAGCGGAAGGATACAGTAGATATACGTGACTAAACCCATTTTTCTAAATAAAGTGTTGCCAAAGGGTATACACAAAATACATAATGGAAATAAGATTAATTGGATTTATTGAGTTACTGAGTCCCTTATAAACTGTGAGGGCAATGTCTTTATTCTTTGATTTTTGGCTTGCTGGATAGTTCAAGACAATGACTTTGTTTGACTCTCTGACTACACACATGCTGAAAATCAAACACATTTTTGCTGTATCAATTTAGACATACAAGGCCCTTTTGATTCAACTTTTTCCCCTGGTCTCGTGTTAAAGTAAACATTTATCGCAATAAATCGTAATATGGTATCACAATACATATCCAACCTGCACCCAAGTATCGTCATAGTATTCCCAGCCCTACTAAGAGTGAGAAGGTATCTGATGAAAATAGTAATTGAGAAAGTATATGAGCGTCAAAGTAAGCAATCAAAGTAAGCAATTTTGGGCATTCTACACATACACATACATTTAACTTTCGATAAAGTATTTTTCAGCACAGGAGCTAGTGAACCCTAATGTTTTTCCAACCTGGAGCTGGACCCAAAATGTATGCATCTATAGACCCAGCCATAACTAAGACACTTATTGCAGCAATAGTTTAGTTTGTTCAGTTCAGTGTAACAAAAAGTCAAACAAACAGAGGGCATGTATGTCTAATTATTGAACAAAATTCAATACATCTCTTCTGCTATAAAGTCTACTTTATGAACACAGAGGTGTTGATTCGATGATGTTTCAGCATTGAGCTCAGAGGTAGAGATGGTGTTGGACTATATTCAGAGGTGTTTCTAATATTCTGCCCCACGCATGTAACTTCTGTTCCCTTTCAACCTCACTTCCAGCCCACCTTACATGGACCTGCTCGCTCTTTTTACTACGTCAATTACTCTGTTCGTCTAATGACGACACAGATGGGTTTACATTGGAGCTAGATGAAAGCACCGTGCGTCTCATACAGATGTGAAAGGCTGCCTCCATGTGTCAATATCAGACACCGAGGGGCACTGACCAAGCCTCGGTATTTGATGAGTTGGGGGTGAAAACTGGTTGATTGTATAGGTGTGCCTAATAATGGGTATTTCTATGTATTTCAAAGTAGAGTGTATATAGTGGTTTGTGTAAGAAATGCAATTAGTTATGGCTTTCACAACCCTTCATGTACTGGAGTGACTCATGCTAAAATTGTACAGTTACACGGAGGACAACACGATGCTAACTCTTGCACATGTTGCCTTCTTTAGCAACAAGGTTGTAGAGTGGAATGCGGGGGAACAATAATAATAATACAAATATAAGAATTGATATCAAAATTGAGTTGACAATGTTTTACAAATACCTTTTCTTTCAAAAAGCAAATGATTCGATTGTTTGAGATCTAACAGCATCAAATATGATATAAATACTGAAATATGCAGCATGATGGCCCAGTGGTAGAGTGATTCTCAAGATGACACTAATGACATCAGCATTGATGCACTCCACCACATCTGAATGTTGAAGTCATTAGAGCCCAGCAATATATCAATGGGCTGATTTGTGCCGATTTTGGCTTATCATGGCCTCTTTATTAGGTACGCCTTTGGTTCTATTTCTATCGGACACATTGATGCTCGTAAACTCCTGTTCCATCTTTTCCTGAAGATGCTCTATTAGATTGAGCTCTGGAGACTGAAGGTCATTAGAGTACACTGAACTAGAGCTGGTTGATATGACAAAAATGGATCACATGACTTTTTTCATATCAGTAGATATTCATATATGTTATAATAATCTGTTGCTTGTCAGATTTGCTTAAATATTCTCTATACGTTATTCAGAGCATCAATATATCAGCAAACAACTATCTATGTAAAGATAAAGGAGTAATGTCTACCTGAGCAGAGTCTCTCTCCCTCTGTGTGTGGCTTTGTTTACATAGCCAGGGCAGCCATGCATGTATTTTAGTGCATGTTAGTGCATGTGAGCGTGCCTCACTGGTTAGCTCAGGGCCGCTGCTCTGCTCTCATAATGCGGCTTCAGCCGATAGCGATGTCTGCGTTGTCGCGAAAGTGTAGCACCCACCCTACGACTCTCCTGTTAGCACAGTTAGCACGGTTAGCTTCTAGCCATCTAGAGCTGTGCGGACGTAATCCCTCAATCCTAGATTTGCTTAGGGCGTCAAATATGGTCAGTGGCCCTCAGCGTCGTGATACAAATGCACCAGTGGCGGGCCGTGCATTTTATACCTAGGCCTTCACTGTTGTCCTGCAGCTGAAATACCACCTTATAACCACATGATGGCGCCACAGTTATTAGTTTCTAAGGCTGTAACTATGTACGTATTAAATGTACGTACCTATGTACATACCGTTCGCTACGAGACTTGCAATACGTTTGAATAGTACTAGAGCATTTGGAAAATGCAGAAGCTTATATTCAGGAAAATATAATGTTTTCTGCGCTCATGGAGGACAGTGGTTCTCAGCTGGTCTGGCTGTGGGACCCACCATCACTCCTTAATGACAAGTCGCAGCCCAAAGAGATCGTCTTATGATTTTACTTTCACAACTTGAACGTTGTACGTACTGCTCTGCAGTGTCTTTCCTCGTCTCAGTTTCCTGTGTCATGGTGCATCTCACTCAGTCAGAATGCCCATATTTGATTGGCTGAGCTGCATCACGTGATGTGATTCACTACCCGACTAAGCCTCTGCTGTTAAGTTTTGTTTCACGATAGTCACGTGCTCACCCACTGACCAATCACAGCGCACTCTGCACCTCGCGGCACAGCTGCACATGGATACTGAGCGGCATGTAATGCTGACGTCATTATAGGCCGGCTCGCAGGTGCTGACACGTCAAAGAATACGCCCAACATGTCAAACTAAAGATCTGATTGGTTGAACACTATGACAATCAACAATATCGTCCCCATTCACTTAAAGTGCAAAGGGATTCACTTGTGAGTCTGCAGGCCTCGGGCCTCTCTTCTTACCTAGAGACACAGAGGTGAAATCTGATTGGATGAAAGCTCTACTTAAAACAAGCTGCACTGGAAGCAGAGCAACTGAGGAAGACAGTAGCTGTGCAATGAGAACATAAGATAATGGGAAAAATATTTTTATTAATTATAATACATGTAGTGTATTTAAGAACAATTATTAAATTATAAAATAGCTATAACTTTGTGATTCTGTTTAGGCCAGCACAGAAGGCCTTGCAGGCCCTGACGGCTCACCGCTGAAATGCACAATGCCCCCTTTGTGTCCATTAGAAACTGTTTTCTTACTATAAAATACATAACCTAGCTGGTGTCTTTTTGGGTACTTCAAAGTCATTGAAATGGCTGCATCTTGAACATTCAATTTGAGCAGAGTTGAGATAGTAAACAGGAGAGGTCATGGTTTACTCAGCAGTTTTCTTGTGTATTGTGTCTACTTTTAGGTGTGTGCGGATCACAGACACCGGGTTGGGCTACTTGTCCACCATGTCATCATTAAGGAGCCTCTATCTGCGCTGGTGCTGTCAGGTAACACAAAATAAACACACACACACACACACACACACACACAAAGATAGAAGAAGTCTTGAGAGTTAGTCTTGAGGAGTCCCTGCATTTTCTTGTATTTTAGATTAACCGATCATTTAGCAACCAAGACTCTAGACTGTGAAAAGCAACTTGGCAATGAACATAAACAGTATCTGAGAAATGACTAGCAGGATATACTATATCTATAAACTATACATACTATAATATGTGACAAGCAGATTGCAATGGATGTGCTGAGCATTTTCATGCTACTGACAGGATACATGAGTTTCATGCTTTCCTGTAGCACTTCCTTCATTTCAAACTTTATATTTGGAGTCCAACTTGTAGTAAGGTTCAGAAAAGAAAAATAGTCAACTTTCAGTTTCTGGACTATAATAAACACAGCAGCTTCTGGGGAGGGGGGGGGGGGGGGGGGGTGGGGGGGTGAGATATGAATGACTTTATACAGTGGCGTTGCTGTTGCAAACATAACTGTTGCTGCTTTATAAACAATAATTAGATTTAGAACATAATTATTTAGTCATGCAGAAAAGAGTATTGATAAGATCAGCTCCTAGTTGTACTAAAGATAACTCTCTCTAGCCGCCGTAGCTCTCCAACATGTTTGGGAAGGGAGGGGTGAGCTGAGGGTCCTGTTGTTGGTTGCAATCTGCAACTCACCACTAGATGCCACTAAATCTCACACACTGGGCCTTTAAACAGTGTGTAACAGTGATACTTGTTACCTGGAGAGGTTAGAAGGAGATATAGGTTTCTAAAACGTTACGTTTCTACATAAAAACCTGTGAAAAGCTTTATTAATCCCCAGTGGGGAAACTCATTTGCCAACAAATCAACTCATACAGATAAGACACACATTACAACGAATAAATAACACCAGAAAAGCCGTCTGAAACATGATTAACATGGCCTTCAAAATAAACATGTTTCTAAACATGGCCTCTTTGCTACAGTGACCTCAAGTGAGTCCGGGGTAAGGCAAATCACTGAGTCAGCCTTTCTGATCATCTTAATGATCCTGTTTTTATCATCCACACTGATGCAGTTTGCTCCTGACTTGATAAAACAAAGTCACAGAAGGCAAACTAAAGTGCGATTGTTAAGTGTTGCCATGGTCTCCTCGTAAATGTCTGATCACGCTGATGATCATGAATCAGAAGGCATCAAAAACATTAAAAACACATAACAACTAAAATCAGAGACACACAGATGGCAGAGTTGCCGGCAAGGGGGCGGGGCCTCAGGAAAGAAAAGAAAAGAAAGCCATGAGTGCACGAGGTAGTGACAGTGTGGGCTCCATGGTAACGTAGCTCTAACAGCTAGATGGAGTAGCAGCGGGGGGGGCGAAGCTTAGTCAGGGGTCAGTTGCTCTTATACTCACAATGATTAGGGTTTCTCATATAGTGCTTTTGTGTGTGTGTGTGTGTGTGTGTGTGTGTGTGTGTGTGTGTGTGTGT